ATAGATTTGCATCCATGCTCCTCCCTTCCTGAGCTGCTAGAGGAGAGGATAAGACAGGAGCTTGGAGAGGCCAGTCCCAGCTCGGCAGACTCAGGGCAGAGCTCCGGGAAGACCCTCCCCACCATGGACTGGGATTCCTTCTACCTCCTGCCCCTGGTTTTCTCCACAGCTCAGAGTGGCCCAGGGCACTCAGGAGTCCCACCCCTGATATTTCCCTCCAAGCACAGTCCTGAGGGGCATCCGTCCAGTTGGGGTGTGTTCAGCATCACTCTTGTATTTTGCATTTCCAGATCTCTGTGCTCTGCCTATGCTGACACAGCCCCATCTGTATCTGCCTCCCTGGAAGCTTCAACCAAACTCACCTGCACCCTGAGCAGTGAGCACAGCACCTACACCATTGCATGGTTTCAGCAGCACTCAGGGAAGGCCCCTCACTATATAATGTACATTAAGAATGACAGATGCCATAGTAAGAGGGATGGGATCCCCTATCGCTTCCTGGGCTCCAGCTCTAGGACTGACTTCTACTTAACCATCTCCAACCTCCAATCTGAGGATGAGGCTGAATATTACTATAGTGCGAGTCATACAATTGATGTGTCTCTCCCCCAGATGCTGAGATTTCACTTTTCTCCCATCATCCTGCACCTCCTCTGTGAGACAGCACTAGGGAGAGGCAGGTGTGGGTGGTAATTTAGACCATTTTGACAACACAACATTCTGTTTCCTCCAACATGGGCCTTTGGAGACAATGCTGGGAGAGACCAGATCAGCCAAGGCAGGAATATGGTTTCGAGAGTGTGACTGGGCTCTCGAGTGACCAAGTCTCCAGCTGCCATCAGGCTGTGTGTTCCCATCATGGGGTTGTGCTCATGGAGGAAAGATCATCTCAGGACTCTAGAGAGTCATAGCAGCAAATGCCTTTATCAGGTGCTCTATGACTGAAGCAGGTTTGAGGTTCAGAAGGGAGGTCCTCAGGGGAGGCAAGACGGAGAGCCTTGATCTCATGGTGGGGGCAGAGCTAGGTCTAGTAGGGAAGCGGGTGCTTGTTAGGAGGTCTGTGGCAGAACCGACATGACTGGGCTTCTCCAGCTGTTGTAGATTCTCAGCTTGTGGTGACTGGAAGGCTTCACATCTGCCCACAGGACGTTTCTAGACACAGGTCATGACCAGTCCACTGGGACAGGTCAGGGCATGGGGGATGGAGGACACTGAGGTGGAAAATATATTGCTTCCCTCATGCCTAAGTCTCAGCCTTGTGGGTGATCTGCCTCAAATATACTTGTGGGCAGCAGGTGTATTGGATGTGTTGATTTTCCCTGTAGCTTTTCAGGAAAAAGAAGCACACACCCACCGCTTTGAGTCAACATGGACCAGTCATGTTATCCATAATAACACTGACTCCAGGACACTGAACTGAGAAGGGTTGAGGGGGATTTGAAGGCTGGACCCCAGATGTCAGGCTGGTCCCCAGTGATTCACTCTGAGATGAATGTCCAGAGGCTGCCCGTGGCCTGGGTGACTCCCCAAGGGGCAGGAGGGGAGGAGGGACTGGTCTCTGGGAGTGAACAGGGTGCAGGGAGAGCAGAACCAGAGTTGGACTCAGGGCCCAGTCCTGCAGTGACTGACCTCTGTCACCCGAGGCTGGCTGGAGTCACAGCGACACAGAGCCATGTCCATGCTTCCCACTGCAGTAAATGGCTGTTCTCTACAAGGATTGCAGTGAATTTGTCCCAAATAAGTCTCCCACGGGTCCCTCTAGAGAGTTTTCTCCAGCACTTACACTGCTAGAAAAGAAGCCGGAGGGAATTAAATCCAAACCCCAGTGTGGACCACACCTCATCCACGTCCACCTGGGCCTGTGGTGCTAGTAACATGGGAGAAAGTCAGCAGTGGCCTCAGATGGACAGACAGAGGAACAAACTGTACAGTGATGACAGTGAATGGAAAGGGAGCAGATACAGACACAGATCCCCTGCTGTGCTGAGATGGTGACCAGCCAGTGAGGGAGCTGCCACCACACATCCCAGGTCAGAGAGGGAAAAAGGACACATGAGAAGCCAATTCTTATGGTCAAGGTTACAAGAGGGTCAGGATCTCAATAAGAGACCACTGTCACCTCTGTCATGTGACAGAGACTATGAACAGTGTGAAGAAGTGTCCTTTTCATTGTCTGTTGCATACCTGTAGCTTTGGCTTCATAGATGCCAGGTGATACTAAAACCAAAAAGTAAAAATATAAAGAAAAAGGTTTTGTATGATATCAATTATACTCAATATAGCTGTTGACAAAAGAAAAATGAATGCTTTTTGTAGCCTGTGGTTTTGAGAGTCCCCAGAGGAGAAACTGAAACAGGACCTGTCCACAAGGCAAGATGGAACTAATGTGACTGAGAGTGTGCTGAGGAGGTGTCCTTTCTCCTCAGGCTGCCTCTGCATATCTCTCTCTCTCTCTCTCTCTCTCTCTCTCCCCCCCCCCCCCCTCTCTCTCCCTTATGGATTTTTCTGTTACTACTGTTCTATTTAATTCTTCAGGATATCTCTGTCTTATGCTTTTTATCCCTTTTTCATTAACTCTTTAGTGTTTTCCTCTTCATATAATGTGTGTGTAGTTAGTTCGATGTGACTTTATCCCACGTGTAGGATCCACCACAGCAGTCTAGACACACAACACTTCCATCAGCACAAGGGCCCCTTGTGATATCCTTTTGTAACAGCATCCATCTCCACCCTCCAAGGTTTTGTCCCCCACACTTAACCCCTGGCACCACTAATTAATTCTTCATTTCTACAATTTTGTCTTTTTATTTATTTATTTATTTTTAAATTGGGGAATTGGGGGATGGGAACAGACAAGTTAGTTGCTGTCTTTTTTCTTTTTTCTTTTTTTGTCCTTCAGTCTAGTTGTGGAGGACGTGGCTTCACTGGCCCATGTTTGTATTATCATTGCGCTCTTTCCGGGCGAGGCAGATCAGTCGCTGGCTTCTGGACGGCCGCTGCGGCTGTTGGCCGCTCACGCTGGCTGCTGGCTACATACAATAGCCCATGGCAACCCACTGCAGCAGGGGCTGCAGCCTACGCCGTCGCTGCCGACTCATGGCAGCCCAGCTCCAGGTTGAGCTGCAATTTTGTCTTTTTAGAATAGATCTATTGAAATAAAGAATAGAATCCTGTACTATGTAGCTTTTGGGGATTGTTGCTTTTCACTTTACCTAATTCCCTGCAGATTCCTCAAAATTGTTGTTGCATTAAGAGTTCCTTTCTTTTCACTACTGAGTAGTATCCATGGTCCGAGTAAATCAAAGTCTGTTTGACCATCTACCTTGGAGGGGCATCTGGATTGTTCTCACTTTGGGACCTCATACACAAGGGTGCCATGAACACTTGTTTATAGTTTCTCTGTGAATGTAAGTTTTCACTTCTGTGAAATAAATACTCAAGAGCACAATTGCTGAGTTGTGTGCTAATTACAAGTTTAGATTTTTAGGAAGCTGCCAAACTCCTTCCAGGGTGTCTGCACCATTTCACATTCCCATCAGCCATGGATGAGTGGCCCCATTTCTTCACAACCTTGCCAGTACTGGAGGTTGTCACTTTTTTTTTTAAATGTTTTTTTTTTT